AAAAAAAAAAAAAAAAAAAGCAGAATAACCTAGGCAACCAAGAGGAATTTGGGGATTGCATTTCTGAGTACCTCTCCTTATAGATCAGCCTGGGTATTCTTCCTTGAATATATCATATCTGTACTGTGTTCGATGCTTCTGGGTAGCCCTGAACTTGTAGCGAACTTTAGTGACTACCCATTACAGCCTGTGTCTCAGAAGTAGATATCCCAGAACTTCACAGATCCATGAGCATTTTTGTCTTCTCTTTAATGTCCATTTTCTTATGAAGCGAACCCATTTGTGCCCTCACCCACCCTGGATTTTCCTGAGTGGAGCATGTCCTCATGTAAATCACACTGAAGCATGACTGCACCAGTTTCATGTTACGAGTTTTAGAGTTTTAGCCTTCTGTGACTTTAGAAGGGAGGTGTGAGAGGTTGTTGTTCCCCCACCCCACTTTTGTGCTCCGCATCACAAAGCTGCACAGGTTCTACTGTAAGACTTGAATAAGCTAAAGTGACTCCATGCTAATAGGCCAGACTGTGCTTCTTCATATGCTAATTGCTACCTTGGTTAACAGCCTGCCCAGGGGCAAATGGTATGACAAAAGGTGACCCTAGAACATTTCCTGCATAAGATAAGCAATGTGTTTGCAGTCTTGTTCTGTGAATTCCCTGACTCTTTGTTTAGAAAAAACTTTAACGGTGCTGCCAACTTTGGAAAAAGTCATCCCAATTTACTGTGTTGACTTGGCATTGTACAGAAATGGACAACCATATTGGTCTAGAAATGTTAATTTATTTTTTTTTTCCAGGTGTACAGGGGTAACACATCGTACTAAATATGTAAGGTCATATCTACGTGGGTTTGATTACAGAAACTAATAAAGTATTCTCTAAATAATGAAAAAAAGAATAAGACTGTAAGAGCGAGAAGCAATGTAAATATGTTCAGGGACCATTTTCATCTCCAGAATTAAGGATTATTTTGATGTTACATCATTGCCTTTTCTCTTTTACTTTCCTTTTTAGTTTTATTTTAGGATTCCCTATTTTTAATGTTCATACAGAGATTTCTTTAACTGAAATACCGAATAGTTTCTTTGGTGTGAAAAACTAATAGTACACAGGATCCTAAAGAGATAATTAATAATGTGAAATAGGAAGTAAAGGGCTAAAGGTGTAAGGAAAGTGGGAAGGGTGGGGGAAAGGTAATAAGGGAGAGGAAAAAAATATGAGAAACTGAAAAAATGGAAATAAAGTGTTTGTAAATGGGGAGGGGAGGAGGGGGTGAAGGGAGGGCAGGGACAAGGGGAAAAATGAGAATCAAGACCTATCATGTAAAGGTACAGAATCCCAATGATGAATGTAATTGTACTGTATACCTAGATTGTACCAATAGCCTCAATAAAAAGAAAAAAAAAATAGAAAAAACTTATAAAAAGGACCTCAGCCCCTGAGCAGTTGCCTCTGAGCTACCTGGCTCCGGGAGTGCCGTCTGGCCAGACTAATAAAGGTCTATTTACCATCTAGCCTGGTGTGCTCCCTCCTGGGTTTCTCGTTTCTCCATCGACCTCCCGGAGCCTTGCTGGGTCTTAGGGCCCAGCATCGTGGAGGCCTTTTTGGCTGTTCACGGCTTTCGGAAGTAAGGCCCTGGGTCTTGCCTCCGGAGCCATCGTTGGGCTATAGGACTCAGCATCGTGAAGGCCCTTTCGGCTGTTCATGCTCCGTGGAGTGAAAGTGAGACTTTAAGTCTTACACTAGTACGTGTTTCTGGTCCCTTCTCTGTGTTTGCAACTTCGTGCTCCTCTCACCACATCCCTTCTCTTCCAGCCACCATTGGTATTTATTCCTGTTACACACCCATTATTTCATGCTTTCTTTCCTCTTGTTTTTCTCTGCTACCTTTAATTTTTCCACACTTTTTTGGCTTCTAAAAATGTTGACCTTTCGAAGTCACCAGCAACTAATGAAGATATTGGTCTAGTACAATCACCAGTTTTGGGGTTACTATCTCTTCTTACCTGTCATGAGCTCTTAAAAATCTCCTGCCTTGTTACCAAATAAGTTTTGTATATTTGAGGGTATTGGTTACTTTGGGAAACTGAGGGCTTCTTCAGGCAGTTGGTGAGGTTTTATTATGAAAACTATGTTAATATTTTCCCCTAAAAGTCTTGAAATTTAGGCATATGTATAGATATAAACAGTCTGACTCAGCACCCAGAAAAGGGGAAGAGTAAACTTAAAGAGTATTCATCTTTTTGGTAGAGTTAGTCTTAAAGATTAATGGCATTCTGTAGGGAAATATTTAGAACAGAAAAATTTCACTGTGGGTTTCACTGACTGGCATAAAGCAGGTGCTGACTTGGTCTTTGTTGAATAAATGGGTGACTTTCTGAAGAGACAATGTGTTTTAATGAAAGACTGGGAAGCTGTTGTTAGGACCACTGGGATCCATACCTCACTCTTCTCTTGATTTGTTGAAGAGTCATTATCTTTCTTTAGTTCTCAGGGCTTCATAAAAAAAAAAAAAAGTTTGGTCTAGAAGATCTCTTAAGGGTCTGTGGGTATATTTGTTTCCCTGCTTCAAGCATCTAATACAGTTTGCTACTTTCTAGATTTCGATGGTGAAGTTGAGCTAACTGATTTTATCTTCTGGTTATTTTTGTTCAGACTGACTGAGATATTATTCCACAATTTTTCTTCAGGTCACTAAGGGAACTTCTCAAACTAAAGCACTAAAACAAGAAATCACTTATGGTCTTGTGATGGATACATTTAATTATTTCATCTGAATTGTCTTTTCTGCCATTGTTCAGACCCCACCCAAAGTTGCTCCATCTTTTTTATGGGTTTTCTGTTCTCAAACCTGCTGGAATAAGTTCACATTCGGATTTAAGCGTTTAATAAATAAGTTATGTGTTCTTTTCTGCATGTTCTTAGATCAGCAGGTCAAAAAGTACAAGATTGTTACTTCTATCAAATTTTTATGGAAAAAAATGAGAAAGTTGGAGTTCCTACAATTCAACAGTTATTAGAATGGTCATTTATCAACAGTAACCTGAAATTTGCAGAGGTTAGTGTCACTGTTTTCTGTGAAAGTCTAGAGGATTCTTAGAACTAGCAGAGTCAGTGTCTATTGAGTTGAACCAACTGAGACTAGCTTTTGATAAATATAAATTTTAAAAAAGTGAAGTATGTCAGCTTTGTCTTTATAGAAAATACCTTAGACTTAAGTTTAACCTTTTTAGATTTTTGGTGCCAAAACTCACAAAGCTAATTTGTAACTTCAAACCCCTAAAGTAGTTTAACACAAAAAGCAGGCTTTAAAAAATTGTCATTTTACCCAAGTGTATGATCCAAATGTATCAAAAGAGAACATTTTGTGAGAGGAGACAAATGTCAATCAATTCACTTACATTGGTTTGTTAGTGAACAAATGATGCAAATGAGTTTCCTTTTTACTGTCTCCTGTGTATCTTTATGATGTGAATAAGTACATGCTTGTGGTTTATTTTTATTGTGTCACCTCTGAAGGGAGGTTCTGATAAAACTTCAGCAACCACAGCTTCTTAATAGTTCATCCATCTGCGACGACACTTTCTATATATTTGCTATAATACATTATCCAAAACTCTTATTACTATAAACCCAAAGTAAAATGACACTAGGTAGTTCTTGTATTACCTGGGCCTGAGACTGTTGAACCCCCTGCTTCTGGGTCTTACTGTGCTGGATGACCAGGGACGGCTTGAAAACTGGTGGCGTATGGCTGCTTCATGCTCACACTCCACATTAACTGTGTGGATCTTGCTTTGTGGGTCTCCAGCATTAGGGTGAAAATCAGCACTTGCTCTGACACCGACTATTTCAGTTTCATAGAAAACATTTTTTTCTTAGCACTTTGATTTCTTCTAAAAATGTATTTTTCCCCTCTTTTTTTCTTTTTAGGCACCATCATGTCTTATTATTCAGATGCCTCGATTTGGAAAAGACTTTAAATTATTTAAAAAAATTTTTCCTTCTTTGGAATTAAATATAACAGATTTACTTGAAGATAGTGAGTATAAGGTTTTTTAGATTGCTTTGTTTTTTATTGTATTTATTTTATTTTATTTTATTTTGGTACCAGCAATCAAACTCAGCCTCATGCTTGCCAGGCAGTGCTGTGTGCTGTGCTGCATCCCTGGCCAGTTTGTTTTTAGAAATAGTCTGTCAGGTCATTTTTATTAATTATGGATGTTAATATGTCTAAAAGGCTGTTCAGTATCTGAAGAATTTAGAAGTACTAAGCCAGCAATTTTAATTCTGGGAATTTATTCTGAAAAAATAATTAGAGATGAAAATAAGTACTTTATATGTAGATATACTTATTGTCATAATTTGAAACAATCTGAGTGTTAATAAGAGGTCAGTAGTTAATTGTGTATCTATACAGTGAGACTTCTCTAAAAATTCATATTTTTGAAGACCATTGTGTTTGAAATGGTCATGATGTACTATTAAGTGAAAAGTACAGTCATTGATAGGTTCTTAATATGGATATCTGACTTATGAATACCCAACACATAAAGTTATATGAACTTTCACTCAGAAAATTGGAGAAAATTCATAGCAGTGTTGATAGTGGTTCTCTATTGCTAAGATTGTAGATACCTTCAGCTTTTTATTTTTAACTTTTTTGTATATTGAATTTTCATCAGTGAACATTTATAATCAGAGGAGAAAACACTTTAAAATATGTTATTTAAAAAGCAGCTATTTGATAAAAAAGAATGCCTTCAGTGATATCTCAAATCTAAGAAAGTCCAATTTAAAGTTTAAGAGGGTGGGAGAATGATAGACTCTTGAAACCCTGAACATTCATTACCTTTTCAAAATCTTTTTAATGAAAGAATGTTGTTTGTCTTTTGTGGTATGGTATTGGGAATTGAACTATATCCACAGCCCCTTTTTTATTCTTTATTTTGAGAGAGGATCTTGCTAAGTTGCCCTGAGAAGGCTCAAATCTTTGATCCTCCTGCCTCATCCTCCTACAGTCAGGGATTAGAGGCCCAGCTAACAATGTATTTTTGAAAGGCCCCCTGACTCTGCTTTTTATGCCCCACTCCAGCTCCCAGACAGTGCCGGATCTGCGGAGGGCTCGCGATGTATGAGTGTAGAGAGTGCTACGATGATCCGGACATCTCTGCTGGAAAGATCAAGCAGTTTTGTAAAACTTGCAACACTCAAGTAAGCTGCCTTCACTTACTGGATTATCTCTTGTGGAACAGTAAGTTATGTGTGGTTAAAAACCGAGTTCAGGTTTTAAAAAGTCTTTAAATCCTACTTAGCTTTAGAATTTCATAATAAAATGGTATCATACATGCCTCTGCTATTGGACTGATAGATATCTGTGAAGTAGTTGGTTGCTGTTTCTAAGGACGTTCATTGTTAAGAGTAAGTGGAATCCGCTACTTGAAGCATTTCATTCAGTTCATTTGTGGTGTTCTCTTCATGTCCATTTTAGGTCCACCTTCATCCCAAGAGGTTGAATCATAAATATAACCCAGTGTCGCTCCCCAAAGATTTGCCTGACTGGGACTGGAGACACGGCTGCATCCCCTGCCAGAAGATGGAGTTGTTTGCTGTGCTCTGCATAGAAACAAGTCATTATGTCGCCTTTGTGAAGTACGGGAAAGATGATTCTGCCTGGCTCTTCTTCGACAGCATGGCCGACCGGGATGGTATTTCCAACCTCTTCCTTCTGCATGTGGCAGCCTGTGGGTTTGTGGGGGATAGTTCATAGTGGGACTGTCCTGATTAACTAAGAGATTTTGTGAGAAAATTCTTTTAGAAGTTTCAGGTTTCAGGATTTTTCAGGATCTTCAGATTTCAGGATGACACAGACTTTAATCTTGAAATGCCTTAACAACCCTGCTGTTATTCCTTATAGTAACAACATTATAAGGAATAATATTGTGTTATTTTGACATTTATATGCTCTTTGTTAAGAATAGAGTCCTACATTCTTATTTGAGGGCTGAAAGATTTACTTTCCTTTTCCTCTCATTTTTTTGTATGAACCATGCTAGGATTTACTGAGCTTAGTTATACCAAGCTCTCTGGGAGTACAATAAATCATTTTACCTAAATCTTTGCAAGATGGAAATGCATCCCATTTTTCTGATATGAGAGCTGAGGTCACATAGCTTGTATTTAACTTTCTGATCTCATGCTTGTGGTTTTTTGTTTTACACTAAACTGTTATCTTTGAAATGACAAAAGCTAAGCCCAGAAGTAAATATCCACTTTGGAAAATAAGCCTCTTCTGCATTGAATGTATTTTTCCCTGAAAAGAGGGATGATCTGTATCCCTAGGACATTAGTCATTAATTACTTAACACATCCTTCTCCAGGACCCTGAGGAGGTTTCAGGAGTGAGATGTCTGTAACAGCAGCTCCCCTAACCTCTGTGGAGTGCACAGGTTAGCGCCTGCTTGGGCAGGCTGGCAAGTGTGACATCTGTGTCCCTACCTTCTCTTCCCACATCCCACTTTTCCTTTAGCCACTTTTTGAAGCCCTCAGCCCCAGTTCTTCAAGTGTGGACCTCTAAAAACCTAAGACCTCTCTCCCCCTAGTGGGCAGCCTGTTTTTTTTTTTTTTTTTTTT